ATGAATTTTATTTCTGGGAAAGATGTTTATTGGCATTTATTTCTTTTCTGCTTTTATCTCTCCATCATAGTTCCCCATCAGTTATCATTTTTTACTGTCCTTTAGGCTTGACCAGCAGATCTGTTCCTTCTCTCCCTTTTCCACACCCCATGTTTTGAATCTTTGTCTTTTTAGCTGTTGGTTCTTTGTGTGGAAAGTTTGATTTAAGCCAACTTCTCCCTACCACCTTCTTTTTCTTCCTTAGAATTGTCGTCTGCTGTCTGATTTTAGCCACAGTTCCTCCACTGAAGCTGCAATAGCTCTGGCTCCACAATTTTTTGTGCATTGATGATGACTCCTTCCTTCTTTAGTCTCCTTTGGTCCCTGGAACACTTCTCAGTGATGCTGAGGTGGGGATTGAGCAGTGGGGTTTAGGACTGTGGACCTCTGCCTGGCTGTAGATGCTAATTTTGACCATTAATTCACTCTAGGACCCCGGCTGGTGACTTCACTCTGTGGAATTCCCCTTGGTGAAGGAGGACATTAGTGCCCACCTTGTAGGTGTGTGGCGAAGACTGAATGAATAAGCACATGAAATGTGCTTAGCACAGTAGCTTGTACACAGGAAGTGTTATGGTTAGACTTACAGTTACAGTTACGTTACAGCTGGCCCTCTGTATCTGTGGGTTTTGCATCCTTGAATTCAACTGACCATGGAGAGAAGACATTTGGGGGCAAAAGTTACAGAAAATATCAAAAAGCAAAACTTGGAGTTTACATAGCATTTACATTGTATTTACAACGATTGACATAGCACTTAAAGTGTGTTAAGTATTATAAGTTATCTAGAGATGATTTAAAGTAAACCAGAGGATGTGCACAGGTTATGTGCAAATACTATGCCATTTTATATAAGAGACTTGAGCATCCTTGGATTCTGGTAGTCCCGGGGATCCTGGACCCAATCCCTGGGGGACACCAAGGGACGACTCTAATCTGGCTTTTCTTATATGTGTCCAGTTGATCCCTTTCCACCTCCATTTGTCTTCCCACCCGACTCTTGTTCTAAATTCTGTTCTTTGCTCTTCATTATTTTCTTCCTAGGTATTGTCTTACTCTTGACATTTCAATGTCTGCCTTTATGCCTGCAGATTTTAACCAGGTCAGCTCTCTACATTTTAGTAGGAAGCTTCTTGTTGCATGAAACCATGCTGTATGGACATAGTTTTTGGAGGACATTTTGACTTTAGTCAGATTAGTCCACATCGGCTGCACCCTCACCAGCTTATGCACAGCCATGTCAGTTCCATTTCAAACTTGGAAGAATCTGACCTTTCACTAATTTCTATGAATTGCATTATCTTGAAGATGAAATTACAAGTGTCACCCTGCACAGTGGACCTAGCAGGGCCACACTAAGTGAGTATATCCTGAGCAGACGCAAGAAGGAATGGTAGGGCTTTACAGATCAAATGAACTAAAGTCATGGGAGTCTTAGAATGAGCTAGAATAAAGCCTGAGAGCTTACTGGTTCCTGGATACTGTGAAGTACTGATCTGACTTTCACAAAAACCTTAGGAGGTAATCAGTATTATTTTCCATTTTACAAGTTTTCCATTTCTCATTTATAGAGAAACCTGAGTCTTAAGAAAATAAATATGCTCAAGTCTCATAACCAGCAGGTGGCTGACTTAAGATTTGACTCAGTTCCCTTGGGTCCCAAACATGGAACTCTTAACATCTTGATTGTCTTCTCTATGTTATCATTTCCCATTTTTCCATTTTTCATTTCATTTTTTCCTGTCCCTTCTTCTATACTGGATATGCTAGAGCTTAGTCCATTTCAAAGAGAGAATATATATGTACTTATCAATAATATCTTGTTTTAATGTTTGGATTAATTCAATCCTGCTTTTAGTTTTCTTATTCTTGCTCTTTTCTGTAATTTTTGTCTATTTTCTAAATTCTTTGAGAACTTAGTCCTTTTCTTTCTTTTCTTTAATAATGGAAATACTTAAGGCTATGCATTGGCCTCTGAAAGCAACTTTGAACACATTCTAAAGAATCTTATCTAGTGTTCTCTTTTGTTTTGTTTTATTTTATAAGTGATCTGTTATTGTGCATTTAATTTTCCCCCTTCCCTTATTTGTAAGTGGATGGGATTTTTGATGATCTTGTTAAACTTAATGTTAATCCGTGGCTTTCTTGCTCTATTGCCAGGACGATGGCCTGTTGTTTTCCTCTTGAGTCTATATACAGCGACCGTATACAGTTGCTATTCAGGAGTACATGTAGTTATAATAATGGAAATGCTGGCTTAAAGTGAAAATGACTAAGATTTGAAAATGATGCTTATAACTCACTTATTTTAGTATACATTTGAGTTCTTGTTTCTCCAACTGGTATGTCTTGCTTCTTTTATTATTGAAATAAAAATACATATTCTCTGTAAAATCCTTACGGCACGTTTCCAGCTTTGGTTTTTAGAGGAAAATGGTCCCAGCCTGTTCTGTAACAACCAGCACTCAGTGCCAGATACCAGTGGAAAAATGAAGGGGTGTTGTTAAGTGGAACAGTAGGGCTCGCTAACAAACCCATCAATGTTTAACAATTTTAATGAGCTTTTAAAAAGTGTCGTATTTTCACTGTGAATCATTTCACATTAAAATCTGTGGCTTTCCTGCCAAAGTTATCTTTAATGAAATCTGTGCGCTTTCACGCAGATTTGGAGTGAAGTGAATGTGAGTGAGCAGGAAGCAGAATCCATAAGAAACGCATGTGTCTGAGGGGAAATTTCCTGAGCATCTGGGCCTTAGTTCTGTTCACTCGCTCTGGCAACCTCAGCCCCATTCTCCCAACACCCCATGTCAGGAACTCATTCAGGACTTCTTGAGAATTGATGACTTAGGTCAGTGAACTGTCTCTCTCACACATTTCTGGCTCCTTCTGCTGCAGGAAAATGAAGGGCGTGAGAGGACAGTCATGTCCCAGGTCTTGGGAGAGTCCTTGGGATGTGCCTTGTCAAGTGAGGGTCCTTGGCTTCTCATAGGAAAGAATTCGAGAGTAAGTCATAGTAAAGTGAAAGCAAGTTTGTTTAGAGAGATACACACTCCAAAGACAGAGTGCAGGCTGTCTCAGGAGACAAGAGTGGCGGCCTCAGGGCATGGGGTCATCTCAGGAAGTGAGAACAGCTTAGGAGATACACGTTCCATGGGCAGAATGCAGGCCATCTCAAGTGGCGAGAGGCCTTGGGGTGCAGGGGTGATTAGTTTTTATGAGCTTAGTACAGGTGGGAGGATTTTTCCAACTATTTCGGGCATGGGACAGGGATTTCCCAAAATTGGTCCACTGCCCACATTGTGATCTTTTATAGTCAGCCTCAGAACTGTCATGGAACCTGTGGGTGTGTCATTTAACAGCCAATGTGTTACGATGGGCCTATAAGGAGACTCAAGGTCCACTGGAAGTCAACTCCTCTGCCATCTTGGGCTGAGTTGGTTTTCACCAGTTTATGTTGCATCCTCAATTGCTGAGTCATTCTTTCCATGCTTGTGACCTACCTCCTCCCCTCCTGTCTCACAACCATCAGTGGATTCTGTGCTGGGTTTTCTGTGCAGTGAAAGGCACAGGAGGTGACTGGCATCTGACTAGGAGATGATGTTTGTATGTTAGTACTCTTTTTTTTTTCCATTTCAGGAAAGGTGGTTTCTGTAGATTCACTGAAAAGCTGTGGTTACCTAGAGGTGGCCAGAGGAGAGAGGGAAGTCCCTGGGAGGTAAGAGGAGGCAGAAAAAAACAAAGGAAGGATGGGACACAGAGGAATGAAAATAACCCCCAGTTGTTTTCGAGTCTTGAATGTTGTAACCCTTTGTCTACTTTTTGGAAACAGTTCCTGCCTATAGAGCTTTCTTTAAACAGAAATAAGAATCTAACTGGGGAAAATTTTTGGAAAACTTTGGAAAAACACTTTTCCTGTCAAACTATGCACAGAGAGAGGAGGAAGCATGTTTTGACAGATCTAAATGCAACGTTGCTTGTGGGTGGAATTCCGCCTAATACTGCTATTGTGTTTGCTGCTCAGCAAAGCTCGCACAAAGCCCGTTGCAGATACTCAGATAATAACCACTTGAATAATTTTATTCATCTATTTACTTAGCAAGTGTATAGGTGTTCTAGGACTCACATAACAAAGCACCGCAGCGTGAATGGCTTGTCTCACAGCTTTGGAGGCTGCAAGTCTGAGGTCAAGGTGTCAGCAAGTTCTGGGGCTTTGAGGGAGAATCTGCTCCAGGCCCCTCCTCTAGCTTCATGATCTGATGACAAATTTTGATGTTCCTTGACTTGTAGAAGCACCACCCTGTCTTCATCTTCATGTGGTGTTCTCCCTGTGTGCGCGGCGTGTCCAAATTTCCCCCTTTTATAAGGACACCAGTCATATTGGATTAAGGGCCCATGCTATTCTGGTATGACCTCATCTTAACTAATTACATATGCAATGTCCCTATTTCTAAGTAAGGTCACATTGAGGTCCTGAGGGTTAGGACTTCAGCATTTGGATTTGCGGGGAACACAGTTCCACCCATAACAGGAAATATTTACTTATGCACCCAGTAAATGTTTAATGAGCATCTCTTATGTGAAAGTACTTTATGAGGTATTGAGATTTAAGTAAATATGGATAAAATATTTCCTGTCCCAAGCCGCTTGCAGTAGAGTAGGAGAGAGGCATATAAACATATAACTATAATCGGTGGTGGCATGGTAAAGATACGTACAAGGGATTGTGGTGGATGGAAGGGGATGATTAAACCTACTTGTTGGAGGAGATGTCAGGGAAGCTTCACTGACAGGGCAAAGTTTGAGCTAGATCCAAAAGAATTAAAAGATCAATTGGTAGACCATGGGCATTCTGGCCAGGGAGAGCAGCATGATGATCTGAAACAAAATGATGCACTCTTGGGACTTTAAACCGTCTTGTGGCAGGAGTGTCTGGGCACTGTGGAAGCGATGGGTTGTCACTGGAAAGTTTTAAGTGTTGGAATGACACTCCTGGACTCGTGGTTTTGAAAAATTCTGATTGACAGCACAGAGGCTGGAGTGGAGGTGGTTAAGTCTAAATTTGAAAGATAGAACAGTGGAAATGGGCACAAATCTGGTACTTGTGTCACTGAGTGGATCCTAATTTCCTTCAGCCTGAAGCGGGGAGTGAGGATGGTCCCTATTGCCTAACTCCAGATCCGAATGCCAAACCCTCCCTCATCAGTGCATTCCTTGGCCAGGGGTCATGGAGTCTACATTTTGTCCAGAGCTCGGAGACAGGGATCTACTTCTGGCCAGGCCAAGGGATCTAGAACCCAATGGGCAGAAGTAATGAGATTTTCTTTATTTCTACTAGAAAAAAAAAGCTCATTTCCTAGTCATGTGTCATCAGTAGCATCCTCCCACTTTCTTAAAGACAATCAACAAGTAGTGACAAACTGGGAAAAGCTATGTGGTTACTGTATAGGAAAAAATGAGAGGCATAAGGAAATAGTCCACCACCTCGAGGTAGGAATCACCCGCTCATTACAAGATCATCCACCGTGAAATCAGAATGTTTCACCACACCTCCTGCAAGGGGACTGAGGGCCTGAACTAACCCACAGGCCGAAGGACATTCCAGCAGAAGAGAAGCGATAGCGATTGCAGTGACCGTCCACAGCCCCAAGAGTAAGCCTGCCAAGGAGAGCGAGGGTGCCGATGTTTGATTCAGCTTTTCTGCTTGTTTGTAGGTTTTTGTGGCTGCCTCCTGTTGGGCTTCAGAGGTAGCTGTGGGTGATGAGCGCCATGGAGAGGAAGTGCTCCCACAGCTAGAGGAAGCGGCAGCTGGAGGGTGGTCTACATGCGCCACGGAGAATGCAGGTACGCGCGCCGGGAGGCGGCTCTGCCGAGGCTGCGCCGCTTCTGGGCCACTTCGGCTGTGCTGACAAATCAGGTAGGCTTTTGAATTTTGTGTTTGGACAGCCTTGGTTTATTATTGGATGTGCACTATTTTCTGAACCAAGATTATCTTCCATCCTCTTAATCATCGTAAGCCTACCTCCTGGAGCCAAAAGGCAAAGGCTGACATTTGTACCGTGGGGACCATTAGCTCCCCATCTTTCTTCCCTGCACGGCTTTTTGTTCCCCTTCATGCTAAAGCATCCTGACAGAGGTTCTGAGCGTTCCCCAAACACCCCACGCTTTGCCTCTGGTAGCCCGTCAGCCTCCCCCGTGTGAACGGTGGCGGGTGAAAGTCTTAATGTCGCTTCTTCCTCTTCCATTGAAATAAGCCAGGTTCTACTTCTCCTGAGCAGTAAATGAAGTCGTTTGAAAGGTACACAAAGCCGAAATACCTAACGTGCTGAAAAATTTTGCAAACCTGTTTCATCCTCAGGAGAGGCCATAGAAACCAAGCGCTCGTTTTCAGGTCAGGAACTATATCCCAGTTACAAAGAAGCGCCATTGAGCTTTTGGAGACCTGGGCAACTTCTCTGTTGCTTCATTCACATCTTTCCTTTGGGCTTCTTTGTGTCAAATACTGTGAGTCAGCAGATGTGACAACGGTGGAAAATACAGAAAGCGGCCCCTGCTGTGTCTTTTTGGAGTTACTGACCAGTGGGAAGAGTGGGCGGTCGCCCAAGGTTTGCACAAAGAAATGATAAAATCCCATGGATAAAACTGATAGCATAGCATCCGGTGAGTGGCACGGGGAGTGAAGGAACCCGGCTGCAAGGGGGAGGCAGCAGGAGTGGGGTGCGGGGGGAGGGGAAACGCGCACAAAGCAGGACGTTTGTACAGGAGGGAAGGAGAGAGTCTATTTAAGGATCTGAAAGGGAGCAAGTGTGGCCTGAGAGCAGAAGCAGAAGGGAAGTCAGCCGGAACAGAGAATACATGACGAGGGCTGGTGGATGAGGAACTCGTGGACGGGTGGATGGTCCTGTTGAAGATCGGCTGAGCTCGTTTGTCAAGAAATGAAAGTTCAAGCCATAGAGAGTCAGGGTGCGTCACAGACAGCGCTGACCCACCTGAACGCTCCCTGCTGCTCCCACGGCCTCTCGTTCGGGCGCGTTCTAGAAACTGAAGGCTGCACAGGCCATGTTTCCGGAGTGATCACCCTCCTTTATTTTAATTATTTTTCTTCCCTGCTGGTGGCTTGCATGCTGAATTCCTGTCACCCTCAGATTCTGTCTTGAGACCTGATTCAGGCACCCCAGCTTCTGTGGCTCTGCCACTTGGACCGCCAGGGCCCAGGATAATCAGGGAGAAGGGGTTCTTAGGGAGGAACTGCTTGTGTTTGTTTTCAAAGTGACGTCTATGGGGCTGAAAAGCGTTATCTTTCCTTTATGTCACCAGGCCCAGACAATCAAAGAGTTTCCCCCAAACTTTCAGGTTTTTCTCACCTGGTTTTTACACAGAATAATCAGCGACTGTGTTCGTGACGATCTGCTCTATCCTTTTCTGGTCTATTATTAATTTGTTTTGTTTCATTTTTGGCCAGAAAAAAAGCCCCAATTCTTGGCTTATTGAAGTAGTCAGAAGCTTATCATTTTTAAGCCCATGGTAGACTGTCCTTCTTAAGTGTATGAGCACAAGTTTTTGTTCCTTTTGACACTGTGGATGAAACTGTTTAGTAAAATTAAAATTGTTCAGTGCTATTTGGGCTATTCAGGAAAGAATGCTTCAGAGGTTTAAAAGAATCTGGTTTCAAAATACTTTGAGTTGTGCTCTTGGTTTCTTAAGGATTGGGAGCTGCACGTAAAGACACTTTTTTGGGTTTTTGTTTGTGTTTTTGTAAACAAGGCTTCAGCAGAGGGTAGATTGCAGAGCAAGGGTCCGGAAGCTGAACAGAGCACAGACCCCCCTCCACTCCCATCTCTGTCTGACTGTCGGAGTTTGAATCATGAGGTCTGGTGGGGCGCTCTTCTCCATCTCTGGGACAGAAGAAGAGAGCTTCGCAGGGAGAAGCACACCGGTGGCCTGGAAAAGGGCGGTGCTTCCCTCTGCGCAGCAGTTTACGTGACTGAGGGAAATCCAAGGAGACCCTGGGAACATTCACAGTGACCAGCACCGCCTCTCTGAGAGTCGGTGCCCTGGCAACGTTGGGAGGTGGTCCCTGCTGTGGACTGAATTTTGTCCCCCCCATATGTATTTGACAGTGTGTGGAGTTGGGCCTTTTGTGGGGTAATTGGGTTTAGATTTAACGCACTCGCCCTGCCTCTATCTCTCTGTCTCTCCCTCCCCCTCTCTCCCCCCATCTCTTCACCCTGCCGGACGGACGAGGACTCTCTCCAGAACCCTGGCAGCCTGGTTTCTGACTCCCAGCCTCCAGAACTGTGAGAAAGTAAATGTCAGTGGTTTAAGCCTCCTTGTCTATGGCATTTTGTTATGACAGCCTGACGTGCTTCAATGTCAACCCCTAGAATGCCTTCCTAAAGCTCAGAAGTCATTGATTCTGAGACTGATGGTCACTGGTATGAATCTCTGGGCTCTGCTTCCCCAGTGGCTTGGTTTGTGGGAGCTACCATACTTAGAGTCAGCAGGAGGCTTCTCTGTTGTCTTAGGGATGGAGGAGAGAGGCCCCCTTGGGCCCCAGACTTAGCAGTCCCTAAAGCCTAGAGGAGGCCTGCGGACCGACCCCTGATGTCCTCAGAAAAGCCAGGCTCCTGCCGTGCTCCTCCAGGCCACGCCGAGCTGCCCTGCCGGCCTCCAGCCTCACTTCCAAGCTTCCCCCCAACGCCTGCTGCCTGTTTCTGGGACCCACCAGGCTTTTCTAGATTCCTGCCTCTGCCCGTGTGCCTCCCCAGGGCAGCCATCCTGAACGTCCTCAGGGGGACCTCTGTTCTCCCTTCCACCCTGTCTGAGTAAAGCCAGAGCTGGACCCCAGCTACAGTGGCAGAAGCAGTTCTTACTCCAGTACTGTCAGGGGAAATGAGACCTCGGTGTAGAGCTGGGCTCAGCTCTGAATACGGCCCAGACACGTGGGGGTTTGTAGCCAAGGGCCAGGTCGGAGGATCAGCTGACGGGAAGTCACTGGGAGGAGACATCAGGGGTTGGGGGGTTCTGGCTAAGCGGAACTTGACGAGATTCTGGCTGAAAGCAGCCCAGGGTGATCAGACACCAAGCCTGAGGGGTGAGGCGTTTGATCGGACGTCATGGGTGGGGGGTTCTGGCGAGACCCACTTCGCAGGGTTCTTGCTGAAACTGGCTGATGCACAGGTGACATGGGAGCCCGAGGCTGAGGCTCCGCTGAGAAGGGGGTTCGGAGGAGCCTGACTGCGGTTTGCTCAGGGAGGGTCTGCCAGGTTCACACACCTCCTTGCTGGGTTGTGCCACAGCTCTTCCTGCGGGCTGCAAACCCCTCCAAAGTTTGTCTCCTTCATCCTTGGACTGCGGGCACCTGGACTCCGGCCTGCCACAGAGGAGGTGCTCAGAAGAGGTTTTCCGGGGCCGGAAAAGGGTCTGGGATGAGGGCGCAGTGCTCGCTCCCCCCTGAAAGCCAGGGCCCGTTATGAAGGCTCTCCCAGTGCGACGTGCTCCTGTCTTAGCTGGTCAGCCTCCAAAGACGGGTGCAGGCTGCCCCCGAGACCATGCCAGTGGGGACACTTCCCCAGCATAATTCCCTCTGGCCTTCGGCAGCATGAAAGTTACATGATGAATGGGATTTTTGTCCACGGTTCTGGCCTGAGCTGATGAGGTGATGGGAGAGGCAGTGAAAGCCACTATTCCTCATGTGGTTGGGAATTTCAAATTCCTTCCTGACGGAAGAGGAGGTCGCAGGCGCCCTCTAAACGCCTCTGTGTGCAGACCTTGGCCACTGGCTCGGTGACGACCCACAGTGTCAAAGGCAGGTGGTGTACATGGTCACAGCCCAAGGATACCGCCTGGGGGACTCAGCTGAGCGGCCACAGGAGCCGGGCTAGAGGGCTTAGAACATGTTTTAAACAGGAGAGGGGTTGACAGAGTGAACGGTTTATTTCGGTAAGTAGGAATATTAAAAAAAAAAAAGAAAAAACACCTGTCAGCTACCATCACCACTTTTTTTCCCATAAAATTGAAAAACATATTTTAGAAAAAAAATGTGGTGAAAATGTGCAGCTCACAAAGGTTCCAGTCCACCTCTGCCCTGACTCCCAGGCCCCAGAGGGGAAGTCAGATAAAAGCAACGACAAAAACCTTAGAGCGACTGCAAATGGGACGGTGATCTCACCCATGGCCTCAAACATCCACGGTGCCATCTTCCCTCTCCTGGAGTCACTGTCGCTAGTTTTGAGGTGTGACCATCCCTCGGCTCAGGTGTGTGAGCCCGTCTGCAGGTGAGCAGGTGACCCCGAGCACCAGAGCAGGACTAGCACCGTGAGGGCTGGCATCTCGGATGGGAAAAGAACTACGTTATTGTTTTCATGAGCCTTTAACTGAAATGCAGCGCTTTCTTCCATCATGAATATGGGCGCTGTGTTAATTTCCTAGGGCTGTGGTAGCAGAGGACCACAGGCTGAGGCCTTCCGATCAGACGCGACCCAGATCCGGCGGTGTGGCCGTAGACAGACAACAGATGTTTATTCCCTCACAGTCTAGAGGCCAAAAGTTGGAGGTCACAGTGTGCGCAGGGCCGGTTCCTTCCGAGGCTGCGAGGGAGAGTCTGTCCCAGGCTCTCCCCCAGCTTCTGGGGGCTGCTGGCATCCTTGAGGCTCCTCGGCCTGTGGAAGCATCACCCCGACCTCCGCCTCCGTCTCCATGTGGCGTTCTCCCTGTGTGCTCATTTGTGTCCAAATGCCCTCTTTTAATGAGAACACCAGTCACAACTCAATTAGGGCCCCCTCTAAGTGACCTCCTTGTAACTTGGTAAAGACACTCTCTCCAAATAAGGTCGTATTCCTCGGTACTGGGGGTCAGGACTCCAACGTTTGAATTTGGAGGGTGGGGGCACAATTTACCCCCTAAAAGGCACTGACCCGCTTGGGAGAAGAGCCTGTGAGCTTGTATCCAAGAGGATTCATTGGTATTTCACAACATAATAGTCATTGTGGACACTCTCAAATATGGGCGACTCATGCTGCCTTCAAAATTAAGATAATTATTTGACAGGGAGCTAGAAATTATTATCAGATACAGTGCTGAAAAAGGGCATTCTGGCACAGAATATTGCTGGGGCACACTATAAAAAGTATTTTGATGAATTTATGTCAGCATAGTTGATTTCCCCTGGACACCCATATGTTTGGGTTTATGAACTGTGTTGGAAGGGGTCGTGGTATAAAAATGTTTGTGGAGGGTTTGTAGCTCTTCCCTGGCTTCCACAGAGAACTGCAGCATCTTAAGCTGATTCGTGATGGAAACTGGAGCAGGTCCTGATTTAACAATCAGTGAAATACTGAAGCACCCTCACCCAGTGACCAAGGAGCCTGCCTTCCGTATCAGGCCAGCTGGTGTTTTAAATAAGCTGTCACTGTTTTAGAGTTTACGGAATAAGCCAACCCTGGACTTTACTTCCTGGGGCGATATTAATCCTATTTTTAATTTTCTGTATATTATGATGTTTTGACATCTTAAAAAACCTTTCTGGCTGCGGAGAAGAGCTAGCCAGTTCCTAGGGATAGCAGAGTGCCCAGCCGGAAGCAGGGCTTTATGCACATGGGGACCCATCTGAAGCCTCCCTTCCTCTCTGTGGCCCTGGGGCCCCAGGAGAATATTCCTCTGTCTCAATCTTCCCAGGGCCAGGTGCCAGGCAACTAAGGGCACCTCTTTAGTTCAAGGCCCGCCAAAATTATTCAGATTAGCCAGTCCTAAAGAGTTCACCCTGCCTTATCTTGAAGGGCCCCAGGCCTTTGTCCCTGTGAGATCTGGAATCTGCTGGCCCCCACGGCACGGGTCACCATCCTCGAAGAGAATGACCCCAGCGTGTCCTGTTTCAAAGACAGGTCTCCTTGTTGTCACTTACTTTGCTGTTGTCCTCCATCCTACCCTTGGAGACCTGTGACTCAATGCTTAGTAAGAAATAAACAAGGAGCAGTTGATCCCACCTGCTAAAGCCCCAGGGAGGTTTCTCAGCTCAGCTTTGACCACACATCTCCCAGCTCACATCCTCAGGCACTTTTAGGTGTGGTTACCTACCAACCTGCTCAATCTCCTCCTTAAACCAAATAGTCACAAGGTCAGGCTCCTGCCCACCGCACGGACCACCTGGGACTGTGGAGAGCTTATCAGGTCAACATGCAGAAGGAGGGAAAAACAGACAAACGATGGCTGGGGATGGACAGGAGACGCAAAAGGAAAAGAAAATGAAAAAAGAAAAGTTAAGTGGCCTAGAGATACCAGCCAATCAACCATTCTGAAAGATTTTGAGAGAAAAATAAAGGGGGAAGGGTTCATCCTAGGGCAAGGTCCCTGCAGACACGGGGCCTCCCTGCTGTCTTCTGACCCGCCTGAGAGAGGAACGGAAGACGCGACTTCAGGTGGCTAAAACCTGAAACAGAAGACAAACCAGCCCGCCTCAAATACAGCTTTAGGAGGCTACAAGCCCAAGAGAGAGAAAAGAGAGAACTTGAAACTTCATTTACTGAACAAATGCCTGGTCTGACCAACATTACTCAAGCCGTAGGTTACTTAATGATTTCAAAACATACTGCTAGATGCAGAGGGAGAAATCGAGAGGCAATCAAATAAATTATAGATACATACAGAATACTTTAATATAAATGTATGTTATGTAACCGTGAAAGCAAGTTTATGATTAAAATGTTTACTATATTAATGAATGTTGACATTGAACAGATTTTTTATTATTTATAATATTAAATATTTAATTAATAATATAATAAAAGTGATTATCTATCATTATATTATTAAATTAAATCAAAGCTTTTAAATAAATAGGTACTAAGTTATAAAGAACTATGCAATGAAACAATGTTTCATAAATTGATCCAATTAAAAACCCAACATTTATATAATTAAAAAAATTGTATGACAAAAAAAAGACACTGGTTGGCTTTTGTGACTGGCTTTTTGTGCTCTCTCTGGCCTCAGAGTGGATCATTGCTGTCCGCTCCAGATCTTTCCCTTCAGATCCGAGAAGCCCCCCCACCAACCCTCTTGAACTTAACTTTCCAGACCTTCCCCCTCTGGCTTTCCAGCCCTTGGGGATGTGGACTCCGGGATGCCTTTGTCTCCAGGCCTTGTAACCGTAGGTCCTTTAGCAGAAGCTGGAATCCCTGGTCCTGTGTCACACCATATAGACTCAGTCAAAGATGCAAATGCTTTGTAATGGGGATTCCCAGGTACAAGTTGTGCAGAGTGTTTCTTGGTCACTGCACTGTAGGTAGGAAATTTGTTCCAACCACACATGAAAGCAGACGGCCCCAGGGAGCTTCGGCCAGTCTGGCCGCGGGGGTGGTACTTGCTCTGCCTCCTGCATGCTGTTTGGTGCCTGGCTAGAGACCAGTGCCGTGACTGAGCCGAGCATCCCCTCCTGGGGACTGAGATTCATTCATGCGAAGGATGCCAGGAAGAGGCACAGGAGAGGGGATGAGAGCCAGGGTTTACTACTGAGCGAGCTGCTGAGGGAGAGCCAACTCATCCAGGGAAGGAAGCAAAATAGAATAGAGAAATAATTGCATCTTGTTTCTGCGTTGACTCGTATGTTTCTCTCGCAAATGTATTGTGGGAAAAAATGCAGTTTGGTCCCCTTTACCCCTGCCCCCTGCCCCTGCTTCCCCTCCTCCCCGCCGCCAAGATACACCACACACCTGAGCCTTCAGTAAACAAGCTCGCAAAGAAAGGGGTAGAATTCTTGGCAGCCCGCAGGCTAAGACGCACCCTCAAAGTCCCTTTGCTTATGGCGGTGATTCCACTGAAGTCGGTGGGGGCTCCAGCTGGTCAGGCATTCCACGGGGCGCCCAGAACAGGAGCTGGCCTGAGTCAGCCTCCAGAGAGTCGGCTAGTTCTGCAAAGCTCCATCCTTGTTCCATTTCTCTTGTGGGGAATGAATTTGGAACAGTTTTCCACTTGGTGAAAAGAGGTCCTCTTTTGCCATCGAAGTAACCAACCCTTTCTTCATTTCACTTGGTCACTTTCTTTTCGTGCTGGCCCCTCTGTCCTCTCGCCCAGGGTAACATTCTGAAAACGGACACTGAGTTGAGAATTGACGGGTTTCTTGCTGTGTTAGGTTCTTTAAGCATCAGCTACAGACTCTGTTATGTAGAGAAGCTAAGTTATCAATATGAGAAGTTGGACTGTGATTGACTTATGATTACGGGTCTCCTTAAAAAGCTCTGGGTGTTGTCCTAACCCATTAGGCCAAAGAGATTCTCAGATATTCTCATGCTGTTATTATTACTGTTGACAGGTGAACCATGTGGTGGGGTTTGTCTTGATCGTACCCATTTTACAGATAAGAAAAGTGAGGCTGAGATTCAACTTCTCATAGGTAGTAGGGCATTGGTCCTACAGCAAATGCTTTAGCCCAACAAATGGTGAAGAGCTGCCGGTGAGGCATGAGTGACTGGAGCAACACTATTCTTTTTTGTTTTTCCTTATAGGGCTTCCTGAGGAAAAGAATCATCTTTTTTTTTTTGGTAAACAAACCAAGCCCAGAAGCTGATAGTGCCGGACTTCGTACGCCGACAGCTCTTTGGAGGGAATTTCCTCTTGGAATCTACCCTTTGGCTTCGTTTTCAAAACAGAGGTTCATCTCACCCAAGAAAGAGTGAGTTATTTGCTTTCTTAATGTTATAAGGCTGATGTGGATGATCCTGGATTTGTCGAGAATAAAAGAGTTGGGTGAGCAGAAGATGAAAGAATCAGGAGATTATAAAAAGAAACCTAAAAACCAAACCAAAACAAAAAACAGCCACTGCCAGCAGGAATGGAATTCAAAGGCAGTTGTGGCGCATCTGAAAACTGGTCTTGCATCTCTCTGGGAGTGATGAAATGGTGCTTAAATCAATTAGAGAAGATTGCCAATGGCCCATCCTTTAGAGCTAGAAAGCCTGGTTTCCAGTCTTGCAGGCTCTCCAGCTGGATGCCATTGTGGAGTCAGTCCAGGCAGCACTGGCAGAACTTAGTGATGTGCTTCCGTATCCTTCTAGATTAGGAATCTGATGCTCCCATGGGTGAAGGCTGGCCAGCTCTGGAACCAGGACCAGTGCCCAGTTCCCTGTGGTCCTGATCTCCCACCGTGGAGGGAAAGATGCTGCCTCA